CATATCAGATATTTACATTATGAGTCACAACTAGCAAACTTATAGTTATGACGTAGCAACGAAAATAATGTTATGGTTGGGGTCACCACAACATGAGGAACTGTATTAAAGGGCCACGGCATTAGGAAGGTTGAGAACCACTGCTTTCGGGCGTGTGCTTTGTCTTCTGGGCCTGCCTGTCCATTGTTGGGCTGAACAGTGGCCTCAGGTCCGTGTTGGTTCTGGGTTGGAATAGTGCCTTAGGGTTACCGCCTGAAGGCCGGCTCCGGTCTCTGTCAGACCTGTCAGCCTGGCCTTTTTATGGATTTGATTTGTTCCTGAAACTTTTGGCTGGGAATTGGGCGCAGGCTTCTAGAGCAGGTCCTCAGTGCTCCATCAGACCAATCATCCAGGCACATTCGGTTCCTGTGGTGATTGGAGGCCCCTCTCTGGCCCTCGACGTAACCCCTCTTCCTCCTGTTTCCTGCTTCCTTCTCTCCAGCTTCCTACACCTTCCGAACTTGGCTCTTGATCTTCAGTGGCTGGTTGTTTGCAGGCCTGCAGACCTCTGGTAGGCCAACACCCCCTTGACAGGCCTGTCTATTGTTGGGCTGAAAACTGAGCCACAGAAACGTGTCTGTTAACCCAAGGGCCGTGGTCTGGGGGGTCCCACCAGCCTCTATCTAAACAGTGAGCTCAGTCTTTTGTTTGTTTTTAAGAATTTTGAGTTTTCCCCTATGTTTCCTCTCTATCTAGAACCTTCTCTGGTGATCCCGTGATGACCAGGCACCGTGTACTTCTGGTCTCAGGGCTAGCAGGTGGATAATCCGCGAGTCCACAGCACTAATCCTTTCCACACATGCCAAATTTCTTCACTCTTCTTCCTCCAGACAGGGAGAGACCAGAGGTTGCACCTTGCATGGCCACTCACAAGCTTTTAAGGGCCCAGTTGATACTCACCAAAGTGGGCATTGGCATCCCCTGAGATTATGGTCCTAAACCCCCAGGCCCATTGAATTAGAATTTTTGTTCTACGTTTTTCTTCTGCTCTGTCCAGAACTGGGTGTGGTGATTTCAGTCAGTTTGGCTGCAGTGGTGGCTGGGCACCATCTAGTCCTTCTGGTCTGGGGATCACATTGGCTGTGGTTCATGCCAACCCAGCAAACTTGTTTCTCAAGTAGGATGTGCAAATTAGACTCTCCCAGATGAATAAATACCAAGAGACTTTGTAGAAACCAGAGCAAGCTCACAAGAAATGTTAACGGGAGTCCTTTGGATAGCGCCCCAATGAATGAATGCATGAATGATTACCAACATTATATATTAATTCATTAATGTATTAATACCAACTAGATAAAGAAGTCTTGAAAATGAAACAAAGCTTAAGACTGATATTGGGGACCCACAGAGGCCCATCTGTAAAGAAGGTCAAAACAACAAGGGAGACGGCGTGGAGAACTTCCTAGGGAGGGGAAGTCAAGGAGGTGTTAGGAAATAAAAAACTGCTGGAAGTTAGGAAGAGAGGCGTGATACATAGGTTTCTTGTGCCAACTGACCAATAGGAACATGTGGGATTCGTAAAGTTGCAGTTTGATTGGAGGGCAAAGAGATAAATGGCCTGGCAAGGCCCGTCCCTCTCTCTCACTCTCTGGTGATCAGACCAGCGTGCTGCTGCTTTAGCTGGTTCTTTGCCTCAGTCTGTGAGCTACACTACCTGTGGGCCAAGCCAACCCGTGGATCGTGTTGCTAGAGCTTGAGGTTCCCTCGAGACCTGCTTTGCCAGGCTGCTGGTATATACATTGCTTGAGCTTGAGGCTGGCAGATCCCGTCATCTTGCATTGCTTGAGTTTGATATCCCATCCAGGCTTGCTTTGTTAAGTTGTTGGTGACCCGCCCTGCTGTTTGCTGCCTGTGGGCAGACTCTGCTTGCATTCCCTGAGGGAAGACTCAATTGTCCACTTCCTTGACCTGGGACCCTGCAGCCCTCTGAGTTGAAGGACTTCCAGAGAGGGTGGTGTTAATTCATGGTGTGAAGTCGCAAAGCTAATATCCACAGAATCACCACCAATAGATGCAGTGCTTGTGAGAGGAGAGGCTCTGGGTGATCGTGTGTTTGATATTTTCCAGCAGTTTTGTCTGGATGAGAAGTATAAGGAAGCTGGTGGGCTGGTCCTCCTTACAATAGAAAATGTGATAAAGGAAAGGGATAATCTCAGAACCACAGAAGCATGTCTCAAGTGCTGAATGACAGACCTAAACGCTTCTGCATGTGCTACAGAGGAGAGTCCTCTCTCCTCTAGTAATAGAGCTGACATTGCCGAAAACCAAATCCAGAGTCTCATCATACGAGTAGCTGAATTACAGCGTCAGTTGAAATTGCAGGTCTAGAACAGTGTCTGATATTAAAGTAAGGGCATTAATGAGAAAGAATTGGGACCCTGAAACATGGTTGGGAACATATGGGCTGATGATCCAGAAGAGGAGGATATTGAGCCCCTAAAGTTCATTGAGCCACCCCATCAGTAGATCCACCCCTCCCACTGAGGGGATTAATCCACTATCAGCAAAACAACTCACACCTGAGCAGATTAACCAAACTGTTCAAACTGAAATGCCAGGTGGGACTACATTTGTAGCATTGCCTCGGGCAGATACCTTATAAGACATTGCTGAGGGCCGGCAGGAAACACCCCACTCCTGGTACCATAATGTGTTGGTCCGGGTAGACTAGAGAAACAAAGTCTAGAGACACTCATGTGTATGAGACAGAGCTTTACATACAAGAGCAATTGAACATTGAGAAAACACCGCAGCACAGTCCAGATCAAGTCCGTAAGTCTGATGTTAACCCATATATCTGATACCAATCTACAAATTCCTCTTCAGACTCACACAACACATACAATGATGCTGAATGCAGGAAGATCACAGGCCAGCGGGTGGAAAGTCTTGTGGATCCAGTGGTGATGGAAGCATCTCGGCGCTGGCATGGTCTCCACTTGGCTCCTCCAGCTCCAGGGCTCTGGCTCCATCAGCCTCTCTCCATGTGGCTTGTCAACAACAACGTCTCCCAGGGAGTGAGCGTGTGTCCCACCTCCAGTGAGCTATGTATCTCCTTAGCGTCTCCAAATGAGGTCATCAAGCTGTGACCTGATTGACAGGCTAAACTCCACCCCTTCACTCTTGATGAGTCTCCAATTGACAACAGATTATGTAACTACTACAAGAGGTAAACTTCAGAGTGACCACAAAGAAAGCTGACAAAGCACAGAGCCTTGTTAACTCACTCTCCATTGTGGGCAGCCAGCCAGAAAGAAACCCAACAAGACATAGAAGACCCGATGTCTCAGACAGAACCAGAGCCCTCATGCAGTGAAGTTCCTGGGCTTGAAGGGGAAGGACCACTGAGCTGGAGGACATCTGCATTGATCAGCACAGCATAGCCCGTGAAAACAGTATTCCCCATGCCACTTTGCTGAGTAGCCTTTGAGGCTTAAACAACCTAGGGGCAGCCCTCACAGATACAGCCGTTGGTCTCTTTCCGCCCGGAGTTGGGGAGAATGGGAGCGTCACGGGCTCCAGGAGGTCCTTGTCCTTTGCTGTCCAGGCATCGGGCCTCTCCTTTATGGATCCCGCCCTTTTTGGACGTACCTCTGTCCTAGAGCAGCGGTTCTCAACCTGTGGGTCCCGACCCCTTTGAGGGTTGAATGACCCTTCCACAGGGGTCACTCGAATCATAACAGTAGCAAAAGTACAGTGATAAAGTAGCAATGAAAATAATTTTATGGCTGGGGGGTCACCACCACATGAGGCATTGTAGGAAAGGGTCGTGGCAGTAGGAAGGTTGAGAACCACTGCTCTAGAGACTGGTCTATTCCTGAAATGTCATGGCTAATATTCTGGATTTCCAGCTGGTCTGCTTTCCATGGTTTCAGTCCATTTATTTTATTGTTCTGTTTTCCTGTTGCTCTGTCCGTGTTTTCCTCGGTCTCTTGGAGAACCCCACCGACTGGTGCCTTGACTTCCTCATCAGGTGGCGCTGTGCCTTTCAGGCTCCCCCAGGGTCTGGGCTCTCCATGCTGGTCGCTTGGTGGAGCCCGCTCTGGGTGGATGTGAGAGTGCCTGTTGTCGGAGGGGTGGGTGGGTTTATATTTATTGTATGTTTGTTTGCTGTGCCCGGTTTTTTTTTTTTTAACCTGGGTGGGGAGGGCATGTGTCCTCCTGCGGCAGGTAACCTGCCTCCATTGGGGCCCTCCATTGGGACCCACTTCCCTACCCACCCACCTGCCCGCCTGACTTTGGGGCAGTGGGTGAGAGTGGGCTTCTCTTCACTGGTCTCTCGGGGCAGTGGAGGAGATTGCTGGGAGGTGAGGGGGCTGACCAGTTGGTCACCTGAGCCAGGGCACAGGGAGCATCCTCTCTGGTCCCTGGGTAGGTGTGTGTGCACACTGCTCACTGTGGCAGGGAGCATCCTCTCTGGTCCCTGGGTAGGTGTGTGTGCACACTGCTCACTGTGGCAGGGAGCATCCTCTCTGGTCCCTGGGTAGGTGTGTGTGCACACTGCTCACTGTGGCAGGGAGCATCCTCTCTGGTCCCTGGGTAGGTGTGTGTGCACTGCTCACTGTGGCAGGGAGCATCCTCTCTGGTCCCTGGGGTAGGTGTGTGTGCACACCGCTCGCTGTGCTTGGCGTCTTTGTCACTGGGTGGTGGCATGAAATCACTCTCTGATGGTCCGGGGTGGGCCAAAGTCAATGGTTGGAGGCAGGGGACGTGGCGGGGAGTGGGAGGTGAGGGGGCCCACCATTCAGGGTGTGTCTGCCTGCTAACACGTGACCTGGGAGAGGGGTGTGTGCTGTGGGTCTGCCACCCCTCTTTCCTCCACGCCAGCGGCCGGATGTAGGACTAAGCGCTTGGTTTGTGGGCCTCCAGCACCAGTGGCTGGGCGGAGCAGCGGGTGCCACTGACCCCGGGGCCCCTGGAGGGGGACGAAGTGACAGGTTCGGTGTGTTTCTCTCCCACAGAAAACACGGCCATCTTCATGTGCAAATGCTGCAACCTCTTCTCACCCAGCCAGTCAGAGCTCTGCTCTCACGTGTCCGAGAAGCATGCGGAGGAGGGGCTGAGCATGGATGACATCATCATTCCCCTCCGGCCTCTCAGCACACCCGAGCCCCCCAACCCCAGCCGAGCCGGAGATGGTAAGGGGCCCTGAGCCTGGGTGGGTTGCTGTGCCCCCGGGTCCTGGTTCTTAGCGCCTGTTGGTTATGACGAGGCTGATTGGCGCTCAGGGATTTGGGGAGTGTGGGTGTCTGCTTGTGGGCAGAGCAGAAGGGGCAGCGACCCCCTCCCAGGAGAGCTGGGCTCCTGGAGGCCTCAGCCCCGTCCTGGCGAGCGGCCTCGTGTCACATCTGTGTCGATGAGCATGTGGGCATGGGCTGGCCAGGCTGGCCTGCTGCAGGAAGCCGGCTGCCTGTGGGCTGCCCTGCCAGAGCCACTCGGTGTGTGGAGACCCTTGCCTGCTCACAGGAAGGACGGCGGTTCGGACCCACCCGAGGTGCGGGGGTGCTTGGAGTTGATGCCCCACCACAAAAGCCAGGACATTATAATTGAGGGCACTTTGGGGCCGGCTTGCTCCCCGCAAAATGATGGTTTTGAAATCCTACTCCCCAGCACCTATAAATGAAGCTTTACTTGAAACTAAGACATGTGCCGTTGTAGACAGGAGCCCTGGTGGCATCATGGGCTTAGAGCTGGGTGTCCCACATCACCAAGAAAGAATGGAAGAGGCGCTTCCTGGCTCCTCACACTCCTCACACCGAGACAACTCACGCTGGCTGAACACAACATGCTTTATGGTCATTTCACGACCGTCCTGTGCCGTTGCAGAATCTATTGTTGTGTCCCCCACAAAGAGAAGGCCACCATGAAGTAGCTACTACTTAGGTCTCAGGTGGCCCAGATCCCCAGGACACCCCCCAGGGCCTACCCACTGTCAGCTTCACCCAAGTTTGACCCCCGACAGGAGCAGGTAAGGTCTCCCTGCTGCCCGAGCGAGGGCCTGAGAAGGGCTAGCCACTGTCCGTGGCAGGCGGTCTGTGCTCTCCTGGCTCCTCATGGAGACAGCCCGGGGGACAGGAGAGCAGCTGTGTTCCCCGGTGGAACCGGGCACAGATAAAACCAAGGGCCAGAGCTGAGGTTGAATGCAAGCCCAAGTCCCAACCCCAGACTCTCTCCAGCTGGTGTCCGGCCACTCCGGTGGTTGGCTGGTCTGTGCCATCGGGGGGATGTCCTTGGGTAAGCCCCCTCGCTCCAATGCCTGCAAGCTGTCCCCGGGGCCGTGCTTGGGGCCTCGGGTCCAGTGGACGCTGATGTTCTTGCCCACATACCAGTAGAGGCTGATGTCGTTACCCATGCACACCGGTGACCCCTCCGTGCCAGACCCCTCCAGTCTCACAGTCCCTATGTCACTGCACCCTTGGCTTCTCAACGGCTTTATCCTCTCCCGGCACCTGGGAATGGCTGGAGGCAGTGGTGGGATTCAGCCGGTCTGCCCTGGTTTTGCAGGACCGACGCTTGCTCTTTTTGTTGTTGAGCTCAGTGACCCAGTTGCTAAAGTCGCCCTTGTAGTCAGGGTTCTCCCTGAGGTGGGCGGCTGCACATCTCAAGCTTACACTCCTCAGTCTTTTCAACATCAGTGCAATGGCACGTTATCTACGTGCCCCAGTCATGCTCATTCTACCCATAGGTGGACACAATCAGACAGCATTGTGCTTGCCAGTTATCTGTTCAGTTCACAAAGCCCGTCGTGCTTTTGATGAAGCACTACATGTTTAGTCCCATGTATGTTACTTCAGTCAACAAGCATGTAAGCTAAAGAGAAAAAGTGCCAAATGGCCAGAGGTGACATGCTGTCACTCCTTCCAGCTTTGTGTTGGGCCCCAAAGTCCCACACATGTCGAAAGAGACTATGAGGGGATGATGCAATTCCTGAAACACGCCCAGGGCTGAGAACACGGTCAGAACAACTGCTGTCAGTCCAGCAGCCTCAGACGGCTTTCAAACACGAACACGGTAGGTTCAGAGAAGAGAAGTCGCCAGTTCCAATCCATCAGACAATGTGTCTCCTGGCCTCCCTCTAAAGGAAGGGGCTCCCTCTCCTGCAGTGAAGAGATGCTCAAGGACAAACCGCACCGTCGATGGTGCGCGGAGAAAAGGGGAGAATGTTTATTGCCAGTTAGGATATCAATCAAGAAGCAATATGGAAATATCTTAGTTAACAGTTTGATTGCTTTTTTTGTCAGGTATTTAATATTTTTTCATTATTATTTTAAAACGCTTATAAGCTAGTTTTGTGTTCCTCTTTTATTGCTCTTACTTAAATATTAGCTGTATGAATAATAAACTACTTTTCAGGATATAATTTTTTTATACTTAAAACTGTCCTTAGGGCAGTGAACCTGCTGTTAAGTCATTTGATTTCCACCGGCGGCCAGAGGGACTTGTTTGTCTGGACACATTGTCTGGAGTGTGTCCTTGTTAGCAGAGCCAGACAGCGGGTCAGTAGGGCAGTCTGAAGACTCCCCGGGAGAAGCTACTGGAGTTCAGGGTGGGTCATGACTGAGAGAGGATGCTTGCTCTCACAGGCTGGGTTTCTGTGCAGGAGCGTGGCTGCTGTCCCTCTTCATAAAAATAGATCGGAGTTGGTGGGGGTTCCTCACTCCTGTTTCCAGTGGTTCCCCTGTCCTGCCAGCAGGGACTTCATTACGGAGCCTACATGGCTTGTCTCAAGCCCCCACCTGCAGCACCTGACATCCCTCATCCGCTGGCTGCAGTCGGCCGTGGCTCACACTGCACGCTGGCTCGGAGCCCGAGGGATTCCGGTGAAGCAGGGCTCTGTGAAGCAGAGCCAGCAGCTGGCAGCCTGGTTGCAGGTTTCCTCCATCAGCTCAGAAACACTGTATCCAAGAGGCAGGCATGGTGGATGCCCGCTTCTCCCCTGTCTCCTGCGGGTGGGTCGGGGTTCCAGGTCCCGGAGGTGTGTACTCTCACTTCACCCTCACTCCAGCCCACCTGAGCCTGGCAACAGGCGCCTCGTTCTTCATTGCTTGGGGAAGTCAAGTGAGGCTTCCAGATGTTAGTTCAAGTTGCTTCAGGGCATGCTCAGAACACCACACCTGTTACCGTCAGGTGATCCTGGCTCAGGCAGACCCCACACTTTAAAGAATGGATCGGAGCTCCCTCGAGCCCCCTTGGCTGGAGTCTTTACAGGACCAGGTCGCCAGACCTTTCTTCCCACAACACCACTAGGTGGGCGCACACTGCCCACCCGTTGATTAATCATTAATCGTGAGCAGGACCTGTGGGTGCCATGCAAGGGCCGGTAGTTTCTAGAGCTGGGTTGCAGCCACACCTGTCTGACCTCACTCTGGGTCTGAGCCCTCCCTCCGTCTGTCGATGCAGTGGTCACAAGGTGCGATGCTACTGGAAGCCTGGCTCTCAGTACCCCGCATCAGCAGGGTCACGCTTGCTCGTGGTGGACACGTTTCAACGGAGCTTCCTGACTGAGCCAAGACTAGGAGGAGCACTGGCAGTCTGCTTCTCATGGGAAACTGGCCAGGAAAGCACTGGGAACAGCAGCACCACGTTGTCTGAAGAGGAGCCCCTCTGGCCGGCCAGCCATCCGAGCAGGGCTGGGGGGAGCGGCCTCCGCAATGTAGGGCTGACCTTACTGACCAGAAGGGGGCCCAGTTCTCTCCCGCTTGCACTGCTGATGTGGCAGGAACCGCCCGAGAAGAACAGCTAGTTACTCACCACCTGCTGGGACTCGGAGTGTGTGAAGTCCAAGTCCAGGAGAACAGAGCGTTTTAAAAGTGAGATGGGACACCTGAGGACCGGCCAGGTCTCAGATGGCAGTGGCTGAAATGGCCTGGGGCCGGTCATGCCGAATAAGACCCAAGTGTCTGCAGAGTAGATACCGTGGTCTGCCGTCCTGGGAACACAGGTCTTAGAGCGACAGTGTTCATTCATCATCAGAAAGAACTCTGCAAGACCTGTCTGTCTTGAGGACAATACTGGTGTCTGTGAGAGGGTAAGATCTGCCTACACAGAATTCCTGTTAACACAGCTGTTACTCAAATTTACCCACCAACAGCTAAAGCCGGCGAGGAGGAAAATGGTGAATTTTATCACCTTCTGTCTGAAATCACTTACAGAATTGAAAGCTTGTAGACAAGATGGGTCAGTGGTCTGGAAACAGGACCTTGCGGATAGGAAGTAATGCCAGAGATTCAGTGATCGCATGCTGCAAGACCAACGAGTATTCCTTACAAATACCCGTTTCCACATACGTGATGACTATGCATGTGGAACTTGCCAGTGGAGTAGACAAAGGAATCAAGTTGAGTACAGCTGAGAAAGAGATGGCAGAGAAACTCAATGTTATCTGCCAGAAAAAGGCCGGGAGACATCCATTGTTTATTTACAAGTTGAAGTTGAAGTTGAATTCAAAACAAAAAACCTCCATGGGAGCCAATATACCTACCACCTTGAGTATATCCCACCTGATGAGTGTAGAGAACATCTCAAAATGGATTGGATACATTGAAAGTTAATGACCTGCTGAGTTTGGGATGACATCAAGGGCATTATGCACGGAGATGCCAAAAGGCGATTAAACTGGACAAGAAAGAAAGAAAAGACCAAATTGTACATCAAAAGAGCCTGAGACTTGCACTAGAAAGTCGAGTTGCCTGGCAGAAAAGAGGAACTGCAAGAGCTGAACAGAGCATCTCAAAGGGTGGCCCCAGGAGACAAGGTGAAAATAATGTGACGCAATGTGTAACAACCTGGAGTTAGAAAAGCAAAAGGGAAGAACAAGCCTTTCTCAAGCTGAAAGAATTGAAGAATAAGTGAAGAAAAAAACCCAAGTCCCGAGATGTAATGTTGAAGGATTCTAGGGGCAAACTACTGAACAACACAGGCAGTGTCAACAAGGTGGAGAGAAGGCACAGAGTCACTGTACCCAAAAGGGTTGGTCTGCGTTCAGCTGTGTCAGGAAGTAGCATTATGGTCCAGACCTGACCACACGGAGGGCAGACGCCCAAGCTACGCTGAAGGCATTGGCACAAATTAAGTAAGATAAGCCGAGGCTCTAGGAAGGATGGCATACCAGTTTCACCAAGTGGCCGCGGTCTTACTCATCTTACCAGGGAGCTTGGAAGTCAGCGGCTTCACCAACTGACTGACGGGAAGAGAGCCCTGCCTGTGTCCACTGCACGGAAGGTGATTGAGCCATTGAAACACGGCCACTGTCCAAGAAGATCATTCACACCACACGCATTACATAGTAGTAGGAAAAAAAAAAGGTCTAGCGGTACCTACAAGGAACTGCCAGGAATTCCAGCTGGATTTAGAAGGAGATATGGCTAGAGAGGCATGTGATGGCTGATGTTAAGCTGGATCTTGGCCGGGAGCAGAGAATACCTACCAGAGAGATTATTACTAAAGCACCGTTATTGTTAGTGTTTTGTCAGCTACACAGAGGCATTCAACATGTGGATCGTGACACATGCTAGATAACACCGTGGAGAATGGGAATTCTAGAACACCTCATTGTGCGCACAGAGAAACGACCCAGGAGCAGTGGTTCCAACAGAACAAGGGGCTGCTGTGAGGGGCGGTGTCAGGGAACGTGTGGGTCGGGACTGAATCTGCTGAGCAAGTGCTTGGAGAAGCTGCCTGCTGAAGACGCATGTGGCCACGGTATTGGAGGAAGACTCTAATCTGAACTAGGCAGATAGTACGAGTTGTCACCTGCTGCAGGTAAAGCAGACACGAGGCTTTACTGATGAATACTAAAGACGGCTGCCTTCAATAGGGTTCCCGCCTCATTGTATAGCAAACCAGAGTCCTCCAGGGAGGAGATGAGCCAGTCAGGGTGCAGTATAGGACCGATGAACCATACAACTTTCCTATAGTTCTCTAATGCTTCTGCTCCCTCACTATCAGGATCCCAATTCTACCTTACAAATTTGGCTAGACCAGAGGATGTACACTTGTACAGATAAGAGCTGGCAACACAGGGAATCCAGGACAGATAACCCCCTCAGGACCAATAATGAGAGTAGTGATACCAGGGGGGTAAGGGGAAGGTTGGGGAGAAAGGGGATCTGATCACAATGATCTACACATAACCCCCCTCCCTGGGGGATGGACAACAGAAAGGTGGGTGAAGGGAGACATCGGACAGTGTTAAGACATGAAAAAATTTTTATAAATTATCACGAGTTCATGAGGGAGGGCGAGTGGGGGAGGGAGGGGAAAATGAACTGATACCAAGAGCTCAAGTAGAAAGAAAATGTTTTGAGAATGATGATGCAACAAACGTACAAATGTGCTTGATGTAATGTATGGATTGTGATAAGAGCTGTACGAGCCCCCAATAAATAGTTTAAAACAGAAAAGAAAAGAAAAACCAGAGTCCTCACAGCTGGACCAATTATCACACTAAGCGAAGAAACTGTTGAAATGGCCCAGGGTCTCTTGGCCCATGGAAGACGGCACCAAGACATGAAGTGGACAGAGCTGCAGCCAGAGACCGCTCTAAGTTTTCGCAAGCAGAGGAGACGCAGGGATGCCGGCCGCAGAAGCCGGAGTGTTTCCAGTGGCCGCCTGCATGTGTGGAAACGGGCGGTGTGTACAGCAGACCGGAGAAGTGATGCCTGTGAACTACGGTGTTGGTGAAGATCCGGAAGAACCAGACTGCCAGGAGGATGCACACAGGTGTCTTGGGAGAAGGACCCGCATAGCCAGCTGCTCCTTAGAAACCCGGCAGGAGGGCTCTGGAGGGTCTGAGCACATGCATGCAGCATCTACTCGGCGCAAACATCTCCACCGGTGGCCCGCATTTACCTCTCCCCGGCATGCCAACTGCATCCCATAGGCTCTGCTCGGAGGCAGTCTCTTGTCTCCTCACCTCACAGTTCTTTCTCCTTTGGCCCCAAGATCGGGCGCCGTGAACCTGCCCAGCCAGGTAATGATTTCTTGGCATCCTTCGGTTTTGACCCAGAACATGTGTGGTTCTGGCCGCACGTGTTTCCCCTTCGCTGAGCCCTGGCCGCCACTGGCCTGTCCCTGGGCCTCAGAGAACTCACAGCAGGGGGCTGCTTTCATAAATCACTTTATTAATAATTTGCTTTGGACCGAAATTCTCCCGGAATACATTTCCTCCCCTTCTTGGCTGTGGATACTGGAGGCTTAGTTTTTAAAAAGTATTTCGTTGGCTGTTAATTAAATGTTGGCTCTGCGTAGGACACTCTTCTTCCATTGGGAACGCCAGGCCCCCTCCCCCAGCCCGATTTTCCCCGTTTGCACAAGTCTATCAGATTTGAGGCTTGTTAAGGCTTAGTTTCTCTCTACTGATTTCCATAGGTTTAACCGTCACAGTTCATTTCAAGTTGAGAGATCCTTGAAATGGTTTAATTAAACCTTTAACTGAGTAGTAATTGATTTATTATTGTGGTCTCCCTTTCTAACAAGAAGGTTCCTAATTCCTTGGGTTTATTTTATAGCTCTTTAATCTTCTCTGCTCCTGGAGGAAGCAGTCTGCAGGGGAACTTCACGCTCCACCCCCACTTCCCCTGTGTGCATGGGAGATGTGTGAGTCTGGCCTGATGAGGGGGCTTCAAAATTTTCATGGAACATTTCCATGATCTTTCTGTTGAAATTCTCTATGGACTTTTTGAAGCCTCCGTGTATGTGTGTGAGCATGTGTGTGTGATGGTGATGTATTGATGTGTGTGATTGTATGTGTGAGACTGTGAAGATGTATTTGTGTGTGGAGTTGGATATGTGTGGGAGATTGCATGGTTTGTTGGGCATGAGTCTGTATGTGGGAGTGTTTTGTGTACTTGCGTACTGTGTACTGTGCGTGTGCATGTGTGTATGCGTGCATATGTGCGTGCATGTATGAGTCTGCATGTGTGTGTGAATGTATGTGTTGAGTGTTTATGCGTGTATATGTGTACCTGCGTGTATGTGTATATGTGTGCATGTATACACGTGTGAGCATGTGCAGATGTGTGTGTGAGCGTGTATATGTGTGTGAGCGTGTGTATGTGTGTGAGTGTACACACGTACTCAGCCTTCCTGATGGGGACTGGAGCCCCCAGGGCCTTGGAGGAAGATGCTGGTAGGGCCACTGAGGGTGAGCTTGGGATGGCTTCTGCCTCCTGGACAAGGACCCCAGGAGGGGAGAGGGTGCTGCCTTCCTGGGAACCCTCCAGCTCCCGCACCCCGGCTCGCTGGCCATAATTCATCCGCTCTCTTCCTGCCTCCTGGGCTTGGGACATAAATGCCAGGGAGCTGCACTGTCACCGCGGTAACATGCTAGCCTTCCAGGGTGTCTCCCGGTCTTGAGTAAAGGCGTGGAAGGCTGCCCTGATCCTTGGTCTTAGGCGTGATTAAATTTGTGTGCCTGCCCCCCTCTCCCCATTCTATGCTGGCTCTCTTGCTGTGTGAGCTGTTTCGGAGCGAAGAGATCAGAGGAGAGGAATACTAAACCGGGATGACCAGGGCCCAGGTTAGCTTGGAGTCCTAATGTCCTGACTCCCCAAGGAAGAACCCAGCCGCTCACGGAGTTGCTGGTATTACCCGTGGCTCTGTGATGCCCAGGTTCAGGGACTCTGCGGATGGCAGGGTGGGCTGTTCATAGTGGGATGAGGCCTGATACACAGAAGGGACCCCTGGCATCTCTGGCCTGTCACCTGGGAAAATGGGATACAGGCCTTGGGCTGAGTGGCCGGGAAGAATCCCCCCACCCCCACCCCCTAGGTGCTCAGATGCTGGCCAGGCTGCCAAGTGCCCTCTGCTGGCCATCCTAGGGATTTCTCTGCTCCCTCTCAGGGACCCTATCCTCCCTTTCACCCAAGTCAGCACCTGTCAGCTTGCTAGCCTGCTGCTCCATCCTCCCCCTTCCCAGTCGATTCCCCTTGGCTGGCCAGCCTTTGTCTTGGTGCGGATGCTCGTCGCACGGGCTCTGACAATGCTGGCCCTTGGTGACCCCTCCCTTCCCTCAGCACCGTGCCCCCAGCCCCATCGTGTCGTCTGGGGCTTCCTGGGCGCATCATGCTTTCCAGTGAAGCACAGTGTGCGTGTGTGCGTGTGTGTGCACCTGAGTGTCTTTATCCGCCCATCCACGGATGGGCTTTTGGGCTGTTCCAGCTTCTCCCTATTGTGACCAGTGCCATGATGAACATGGGCGTGCACATTCCTTTAGGGCACATCCTGCCGCAGAGGGGTGGCCGGGCCCTATGGAGTACCTGTTCCCATCGGTCCAGGTGTGCCATGTCGCTTTCCACAGTGGCATCTCTTAATGAAAGGGGAGGGGCGGGGGGCATGTTCTCAGATGGAAGCACTGTCGTCTCATGTGCGAACACCTCGTGTCTTCTCCCCTGCACTCCCACCCCCAGAATTGTTGGCGGTGAAGCGGAAGAGGGGCCGGCCAAAGGGGTCCACAAAGAAGCCTTGTGCGGGAGCAGCTCAGCCGGAACAGGTGAGCAGCACCCCTGAGGAGGGCCCACCAGCTCCCGAGGACGAGGGCAGCGCGGGGTCCAGCAGCCTGGAGTGCAGCCAGTGCGGCCGCAGCTTCTCCAACGCCAGGCAGGTGCGGAAGCACATCTGCATCATCGTGCTGAACCTGGGTGAGGAGGACGCCGACGCAGGTAAGGGTGCCCGAGGGAGGGAGGGAGGGAGGGAGGGCCACCTGTTCACACCACGGTTGGCTGGCCTGCAGGCTCCTGTCTGGACACGGTCCCCATCAGGGAAAGTGCTTCTTTTTGTAATGACGTGTGTACCTGTGCACGGTCTTTCACGGAATGTGCCCCCTGATACTGGGAGTGGAGGGCTGAGCCTCGGGTGGGCTGAGAGCCACGGCAGAAAGGCTTGGCTCAGCCTGGCCATGCATGTGAGGAGCTGCCTGCCATTTTGAGGGTGCTTTCATTGTCCGGGGGCTGCAGAGGAGCCCTGCTGGTACAGTGGGTTACAGGTTGAGCTGCTAGCCTCATGGTCAGCGGTTTAAGCCCACCAGCAGCTCAAGAGACAGGTGAGGCTTCTGTTCCCATCGGGATTTACTGCTTGGGAAACCCACACTGTCCTGGAGGGGTGCTGAGAGCCGGGACCCCCTCGGTGGCAGTGCGTCGGGTAGGGTTGGGTGACACGTAGGCCCTGCCTGCAGTGAGCTATGATGGTTTGAACGTGCTAGCCCTGGGTCAGCCTGAGCAAGCCTGCTGAGAGCCCTGCACCTGGTGTCCACACCTGCTGTCCTTCAGGCAAGCAGGCCTGTGCAGCAATGACACGGAGCCCCTGATTCCTGGACTTGGCAGGTCCCTGCCACGTGCCTGGCTCACCGCTCACACACACCCTTGTGCTCCGTGGCCCTTGGTGGTCCCTCCTGGGTTAGTCAGGGGCCACTTGGGCCTTCCAGAAGCAACAGTTTTCAGTCTCTGCCCAAGTCCTGCTGACAGTCAGACCATGACCCCTTCGCTCCCCACCCACGGTGGAGCCCGGCGGCTGAGGAGCTGTGGCTCTCACCAAGCAGCGAGCACTTTCCCGCTGTGCCAGCAGGGCTCCTGTCTGGCTGTGTGGTGTTTGGCCATGTGTCCTCTCTGTGGCCGGGGACCTTG